AAAAAAAACAAACTCCACAAGCAGTATCCAAGTTAAACACCCCAGAGGCACCCTCCAACAACATAGTGACTTCCTGGGAGGATCAGAGAACTCAACCTGAGAGCAAAACCCACGCCTTCTCTCAACGTCACAGTGAGTTACATAAAGGTCGATTTATCACAAAGAAAACGGTTACCTAAAAAGCTACTTTCAGCAGCGCACTTAGTGACAAAGTGTTGTAACGGCAGGTAGCTACGCATGTTTGGCAACTTTTTTTTACTTTAACTCCAGCTTCCCTTCCTGATGCAAGCCAGAAGAAATTTATGTCTCCTCCCCAGCTTAAACTTAAGCTCTTTCACTTGTTAGGTGTGTAAATCCCTACATAATGGAGCCACATAGAAAACTCATGCCAATTTGCTTCAGGCTAAAGACACGCGAAAACAGTGACAATTCACCAAATATGACTAATAACTCATAAAATCTCTAAACATCCTTGCTCATTTCTACAACTGCTGAGTAAGCGCAATGTGGAAAATGAAGTTACACATTTGGATGAACCTATTCTCATATTTAGTCTAAAAGCTTTACCTTTACTCCCAAAAAGTGACTGCTGCCCACTCCACTCAGTGTGTAAGGGGAAGGGCCACATATGCTGACCCAACCCTCTTACCCTCAAGTTACAACACAAACCGGTGCCAAGCCCTTACCCTGAAACCATGTATTAACCTTCAACCTGGTAAAAAGCCAGACAAAAAGTTATTTTAAAACCAGGGATGTCAAACTAATTTTACATCATGGGCTACATACAGCGACTTCAAATCAGCCGGACCTGTGAAAATCCGCTTTCTGTCAGTGTAAAGAAGTTTAATCCCTCATATAGGAAAAGTTCAACAGTACATATCAGTTTTTCTACGTGATAAAGAAATACTGCTGTAAAAAACAAACAAACAAAAATATCTGTCTCTTTGGGCTCAATTCACAATACATAAATAAAATTAACAGAAAAAGTTCTGTAGCTAATCTCTCAGAATGTTTTATTATCAAACAAGGTTTTTTCTAAATCTCAAGTTTGTAACTGTGGATCTACTGTGAAAAGCAGATAGTAGGAAGGACTGAAAACGGAAAAGTTAAAAAACTGAACCTCCACACAGCAAAATCTCCAGTGTTAAATTAACACTGGAGAGTGTCTATATGGGTCCACACCTCTTAGTGTTAAATACAACACTCTTGAGTGTTAAATTAACACTTTTGACAGTGTTATATGTTTAAAAGTAACCTAGTCAGTTTTGAAGATTAACAATGGCTAACACTGAGCAGTGCTGATTTTCTAACACTGGAAAATAACTCAAAATGTTAGAAATATTCCAGTGTTAGAAAATCAGCACTGCTCAGTGTTAGTCTTTGTTAATCTTCAAAACTGACTAGGTTACTTTTAAACATATAACACTGTCAAAAGTGTTAATTTAACACTCAAGAGTGTTGTATTTAACAATCAGAGGTGTGGACCCATATAGACACTCTCTAGTGTTAATTTAACACTGGAGATTTTGCTGTGCACATTTTGTGTCCTCCTTCACACTAGTGGGCCAGATTGGAGATTTGCGGGGCCGATTTTGGACCCCTGGACCTTTTATTTGACACATCTGTTTTTATAAAAGAATGACGACCTAATCTTGGTATTTATTGTTAGCTTTACTTTCCTGTGACAGAAAGAAGACATCTACAACTCACAAGGAGCCAGTTCAGTTATTGCGTCATCATAGGTGATCTTTTTACACAGTAACTTTCTAATGACCTGCATGTGACTCCTTCAGAGATACCTGTAATGTAGTCATAAAAGAAAACCTTGGGTAAAACTATATGAATAACGCTTTTTATTTTCCTATATCCTCACCCATATCAAACACATGTGCCCTAAAAGATCATTGACTTAGATGATTTATGTGGTTGTTTAAAAGTACAACCACATAAAGTGAGTTGTTAATTTGGGGCAAAAATGTCCAACAACACCAGAAATCTGATAAAAGCGAAGCAGTTCAATGTGGACATCACTACGGTCCAGCTCTTTCACCTAAAATAAATATGCGTTTCAGTCACGAAAGCGTTATCGGCTGTGGGACAGTCCAGATTGACCCACGAGTGTGTGTGTGTGTGTGTGTGTGTGTGTGTGTGTGTGTGTGTGTGTGTGTAGTACCACACGTAATGTCACGCTACACACCGGTTATACTAGTTATGAGTGTCAGTTAGCTCCGTTATAGCAGACTTAATCCCATTTTACACATTACAAATTAATAAATAACGATAGAAATAGTAGCCAGCGGAACCGGGCTCTGACTATGTTCTGGAGAGTGACAAAGGTGGCTGTAAACACATTACAGAAAATACCGGTGAACGCAGACACGCAATAGTTTTATAAATTGCACGTTTAAAGATGATCAGATTCTACTTTAAATTGTTCGTGGCTTAAAGATTATACAAGTTGACCTCAGTTTGCGTAACACTGTAGTCGGCTGTAGTCTACAGCTAATATCTGATGTAAAAGCGTAATATTGGCTCTGTCTTACAGGTTTCTAGTGATGGTGTAAGTCCGATATCGCTTAGGTTTGAGTCTCCGCACACTGCCACAGAGCGCTAGTCGACGTAAACCAAATAAAAGGCAAGTTTTCTCAGCATCTTACCTTAACTGCCTCTCTCCTCTTTGTGCAAGCCTCTCGCACAGCTCTCTTCTTCTTTTCCTGGATTTACGGCAGACTCTTGGCGTGCTCGACGCGGAAGGAAACTTTACGCCATGCAGGATCAAACCAACTCCGTCCTGGAAGCAGGGGGGTGTCAGGGGGTGGGGTTTGAACTGTGAAGGCCAGTTTAGCCTCGTCATGTTATTTTTTTGGAGAAGTTGAGTGTCTGTGTTTTTTGAAGACGTGATTCAGCTTAAAAATGAATGATGTAAAAAAAAAGAAAGAAAGAAAGAAAGAAAGAAAAAGAAAAACCCCCACTTAATTTTATTTATTGTATGGGTGTTTTTTAATTTAGACTCGCCCGTGCATATCTAATCTGGCTCAGTAAATAGCAGGCGAGGTGCAGCAGAGGAAGGGTCAGGGTTATGTAATACAACGAACAGAACAAGCTCCATATATCTCCAAGAGACTGAGAGGTACTCTCATCAAACGTGACCTCGCAAGTTTAACTTTATGTTCACAGTGCCAAGGACACGTGACAGCCCCGCAATCCGTCAGGGTTTGTGCCTGCGTGTTCAGATACTTTCATTACGTACACTCACAACGAGAACGGTTTTAAATTTATTGACAAGTAAAATTCAATAAAAAGGTTAAAGAGTACTCGAGTACAAGAACAGCAGTAGTAGTAGTACAACTCCTGCACTGTTTGGAAAAGAGTGTATTTGTTCATGTACACTATGGTACACTTTTAAAGTAAACAAGATTTTTAAAAAAAAAAATAACAACAACAACAAAAAAAAGCAAACAAACTGGCCTTTGTGCACAGTTTAATTATTCCAGCCAAAACCTGTTGGTAGTAAAGCAAACTTTACTTCTGCTGTGTCCAGTCACCGAGGCCTAACTCTATCTTTGTCCACTGAGTGAATGTTTATTAAATAAATAAATACACAATTTCCTTCTAATCTGTTTCTATTCAGATGAACTGTAGGATTTTTTTTGTCTACTCATTAATACAAATAACTGAAGGCTTTTTCAGTTACTAAAACATGACAAAGTAGACTTGACGTCTGTACTCTGTAATATCACCTCACATAAACATGTACTTTGATTGGTACACCGGCTCAGCTGTCTCCAAATGCAAATAGAGCCACTGCCTCTTGTTGGTAATGCAGAGGAGCATCTCTGGATACACGGCATTGCGCCTTGACACAAATGGGCTATAGAAGCAGACGACCACCTTGGGTGCCACACCTGTCAGCTAAGAACAGGAGACTGAGGATACAGCTGACGCCAAAGTTGGACAATGGAAGAATGTTGTCTGGTCTTTTTGCCTTACAGGATTCAAATCCAGTGTCTTTTCTGTGTGGAGTTTGCTTGTTCTTCTTCCTGCCCTCTATCAATGATAGTTGATGTTGTGATAGTATGGGGGATACTTGGTACACTGTGCCGATTAGTACCAACTAAACATCAACTAACCATCGTTTAAAAACCACAGCCTGCCGATCACATCCATCCCTTTGTAAGCACAGAGTACACATCTTCCAATGGCTGCTTCCAGCATGATATGACATTATGTCACAAAGCTCAGATCATCTCAAACTGGTTTCTTGAACAAGACGATGAGTTCATTGTACTCCAATGTCCTCAACAGTCACCAGATCTCATTCCAGTAGAGCACCTTTGGGATGTGGTTTATCAGGAGATTCATATCATGGATGTGCAGCTGGCAAAACTTTATCAACTGAGTGATGCTATCATTTCAATATGGACCAAAATCCCTGAGGAATGTTTCCAGCTCCTTGTTTAAAGTAGAAATTCAGTCAATTTTCTTGTTTATTAATAACTGTAAAGGCACTTTATTATGATGACACCAAATGAGCATTAACAATAAAACATGAAATGGAAAAAACACTGATTTTTTTCTTTTTAGCCCAGGCTGTATTGTTTGCTAATCATTAGTTTAACACATAGAGAAATAAAATATAATGTGAATTACTCATTATAACATTTAACATAAAATATTGCTGAAGTTGTGAAAATAACATTAAGGGCTACAAACAAAATTGCAGAAAATCTGTAAAATAATGACTTTATTGGAGAGTGATGCTTGTCTCTGAACATGTAAGTGATGTGGATCATAACTGAACATTTAACTGCGAGTGATTAGTCATTTTACACAATACAATGCATACAATACAAGGCAATACACTTGTAATAAGTCTATCCATCCATCCATTCGCTTCCGCTTATCCTTTTCAAGGTCGCGGGGGGCGCTGGAGCCTATCCCAGCTGTCATAGGGCGAGAGGCGGGGTACACCCCGGACAGGTCGCCAGTCTGTTGCAGGGCTAACACACAGAGACAGACAACCATTCGTGCTCACATTCACACCTATGGTGTAATTTGGATTAATCAATTAACCTATCCCAGCAATCTGCATGTCATTTAATGGTGGGAGGAGTACCAGGAGGGAACCCAAGCAAACACGGGGAGAACATGCAAACTCCACACAGAAAGACCCCAGTCTGATGGTGGAATTGAACTCAGGACCACTGTGCCGCCTTGTTATAATTTCCTGCATCACAGGCTCTTTGGCTTCTGATTCCTGGTCTTTAACTTCTGACGAACGACTGCAACAGTGGTGAAGAAGTTTCCCGCAAAGAGAATAAGGAAGCAGAGCCCACACACTGAAACCTGGCATGACATTAGAGCATAGAGAACATGAGTAAGCAGAAGAGGATGAGTCGTATCCTAAACACACAGTTACCAGCATGTAATCTGTGCTAATGGTGACTGGATGTCACATTGAAACTGTAAAACCTGGTGTGTATGAGACCACTGACCTGCCATTCTTTACACTCTGGGAGCTGAGCCATTCTGAATAGAGACAGCCCGTTGAAGAGCTGCCAGAACTGAGAGACAAAACACGAAGCCTCGGGGTTTGTAGTAGTAGTGATTGTAGTACGCAGACACAGAGGAATGCTAAAGATCGAGTTGCTATCAAGATCAGCAAAAATCCAAACACTGTCTCCAGCTGCCTAAATACAGTCGATATTAAGTCTTACATGACATCAGCATTTTTATCAGTGCCTATTCCATCTAAACCAGGAGTGTCAAACATGAGGCCCGGGGACCAGGAAAGGCCCGCAAAAGACTCGAAACAGGCCAACTGGACATCTTGAGAAAATGTGAGGGAGAGAATAGATTTTTTAACAGCTGTTTCACTTGTCATAAGTTTTACAGTTTTTCCCATTGATAAAGACACCCCCCACCTTGCCATTCACCTTACACCAAAAATAATTAAATTACCTGTTTTTCCATTGAAAATGTCAGTGTTTTTGTTTGCTTCTTTTTGTTTTTTGTTTGATTTACAGTGAGTTAGCAGTAAAAAATAATAATTTTTTCTGTAATTTTACACACATTTTTTATGTTTTTGAATGGTCCTGCCCATTTAACATCAAAGTAGCCTGTATGTGGCCCACAGTGTAAAATGACTTTGACATTCCTGATCTAAACCATGACAAAGCATGATTTTTTTTTCCTTTTTTTAAAAATGCAAAATAAGCAGCTAGAAGAAGAAGCTTGTCAGTGTCACACAGACTGTACTCACATGACCAAAAAACAGGAAGGGTAAAAGAAACGTCAGCCCTTTCCACATCCAGGACTGAAATCCCTCTAAATACAGAAAACACACAACAGTTTTCTATTTTTGTAGGTCTGTTGTTACTTCCATATATGATTACAGCGAGGCCTGTGGTCACATTTCATTTAATGAATATAAAATCTTTTTTTTTTTTGCCTGTCCCGTTTGGCTCTTTTGCCATCAGAATTATTGTCTAAAGGCGAAGAAAGATGCCCAACGGATTTACTTTACCAAATTGACCATCCCAGCCTTGCCGTAATGGTCCATTTGATTCACCTTTTATTGTTTATTTTATTTATTTTTTATTTTCACTTGCTAGATACGGGACAGACTTGAATGAGGAAAAGAAAAGGGAGAAAGGAAGAGGGGGAAAACAGCGGAGAAGAGGGACGGGGATAAAGGGCAAAAAAACAAAAACCAACTAAATAAGCAGACAAAAAAATGCATATATCAATCACCCGGATCACCTGTTGAGAAAGAAAAAAGAAAACAAGCAGAAGAAAACGAGAGCAATACAATAAACAACATCACGATGATCTATGGGAATATAACAGTAAATACTAAATATTAAACATTATTGTGCAGCACGTAATATCGACAGCGCACAGTGTGCTTTGAGGTAGGAGCCAAAAAGGGTGTAGTTTGTGTGTGTGAGCACCCGTGTGTACAGCTGTGAGAATGAATAATGAATATAAGATCTGCCTGCTACGAGTGTCTCACCAACAGTCAGATCCATGTTGTGTCTTTCTCCCAGGGCTCGCAGTCTGTACAGACATCCGCTCTGATAATAGCACTGCAGACACTGAACGAAACCTGAAGCAAACAGTGATCATCAGGGTTTTGTTTGGTTTGAAAAAGTGTTAAGAGATATGTTCTAAAACACTTCTTCAGCTGAGAATCAGATAGGAAGAACACACAGTTTTACTTGTTGCTTAGCAAGGGCAGCTCTGAGCTCTCGCACGAGAGTGAGTGGGTGTTTGTTCCTTACATTGGAATGTGGAGGTGTATATGTATGTGTGTGTCAGAGTGTGACCCTATAAACGACTTCCCTAAACCTGCTGCTCTGGAAAATCCAACAGTTCATCTATATGTAAAAAAGGCACTTAGACTAAAACTGACATAGCTACGTTTATCCTACCGTAAAACAATAAAAGAAGGTACGACCTTTCCCATGCTCCCAGGATGTGATTGTGAATGCAAGAGCACTCTGCAATGCACACAAAGCCTTTGCAGAGTATTAAAGATCGCACATCCTATCACTACCATATGTAAACTTATGATATTAAAAGATTATACTGACTACTAAGTACAATTTTCTATTGACAAAAAGAAAAGAAAAGAAAAGCTGGAAGTGTGAAATAAATAAGACTTACTTTGATACAGAGAGTAGGCGAGGAACTGGTTCCTGAACATGTGGTACAGGTTTCCCTCTGGCCTTTGAGGATTAAAGGGAGGGCATTTGTAAATAAAGATTTAGAGTTTAAATGTGTTTTAAAGAGCATCAGGGTTTTGTTTTTTTAACCTATTCTACTCACCAAGTCAGCATTACACTGGACAAAACCGCTGATATGTAGTGATGAAAAACCCACCAACCTTTGATTCTGTAATGCACAAGTTCTTTAATAAATAGGTCGTAGCAATTTATGAAAAAGATGATCGTGATTGGAGGTGCTGACCTGGAGCCATTGGTGATGAGGATACTCTCCCTGATAGTTAAGGTACAATAGTACCACACCAGCAGAAAATTGAGGATTACGTCAGAAAATCTAAAGCCAAGTGTTACGTTTAGAGAAACAGTGTCAGCTTGTATCTCACACAGTTGCATTCAGCTATTAATGATGACATTACGCTTTACCTGTAGCTCACAAAGAAATAGCAAATGAAGGAGAACAGCAGCAGAAGGACTGTGAGGCACAGCTTGAACTTCTCATATTCATCTTTGTAAGCAAATCTGCAAAAGCATAAGTTCTGGAAGAGTGAAGGATTGTCGAAATCCAGCAGCTGAGGACAGCTGTGCTAATGAAAGCACTTATCTGAATATTAGAGGTGTGGCTGGATAAATAAAAGTGGCGCTATAAGAGTGAACAGAGGAAAATGCAAAAGTCAAATAATTATACTCGGCGCTTTGGGTTTGATGGTCAAACTTACTTTGACTGCTTGTTGAAAAGCGTGACATTCACATTTCCAAGAACCAGACTGAGGTATAGGCTGTAAGATCAAACAACCACATGATTTTTTCTCTTTAGGTTAAAAAAGTGTTTTATTTAATGAAAGTCAGCTTATATTTTAAAAGCTATTGATTACCTATTTTTCTTGGGAAGGAAAGCCTCCATCTGAAAGAAAGCATTTGGTCGAATCTTGATTTTCTCTTTTATGTCATCCAGAATCCTGGCATCTTCTTCTGATGACCCTTTGCTGGATCTGACAAGTGACATAAGAGCACAAGATAACTTTGCATCATTGAATTGTCTCAGCCACTTCTAAAACCAAAGATATGACTGTTGTTGTTTATTTCTTCGCCAGTGAGGACACGTCAAAACTACCGAGTCTAATTCATAAAACCTGGTGGAAAGTTGGAGCAAATGCAAATTAAGGACCCAAAATGAACTGCATGGCAGCATGCACTCCCTAAATGTTTTCCATCATACTGTCTGTGACGATATGTGTGTAACCTGACTGGCTCTATTTTTTCCGTAGGCTAATTCACTGTAAAAGTCCAGTTAATGCACTAATTTTCATTTACACAGGTCTTTTAAATTTCTTTGTGGTGTCATCCACCACAATTAATATTTAACTAATTTAGTAAGTAAGTAACACTTGTGGTGAACTGGTGAGTGTGCCAACGCTATAAAACGTTCAAATCATAAATTTAGAACTGCGATAGTATTTCAGTTATGTTCTGCCGAGGTTCTTTTTTGCTTGTTTTTTGTGGAAATGTGATTTTTAATATTTGTATGGCCGTTTAAAACAGTTTAGGATTGTAGGCTGTGACCTGGACCCCTGCAGGGACTAAAGACTTGCAGCCAGTGTTAATGCTGCTCAGCCATTGGTCTTGTAGCAACACACTGGATGAGGGTTATGGGAATGTGGGACGAGGTATAAAGCCCAAGTTTCTCTTGGATGTGTTCATTTGAGTGTGAGTGTTAGAAAGAAAGCACTTAGGTGTAGGAAAGTTTTGTGTGTGAATGAGGCATGTTGTATAAAGTTCTCTATATTAGTTGTAAGACTCAATTCAAGGCTTACACACCTGAAATGAGCAGAACTCCCCACAATTCTTATGATGCAATGCAAGATATAATTTACGTTGTTGTACATCTGTGTACGTGTGTATCTCTAGTTGTGACTCACACTTACTTTTTCACCAGTTGGGATATCTCATTCAGTCTTGTCCTCTGACGGGAGATAGAGGAAGAGCAGTTGTTTTGCAGTTTGGAAAGTTCATCCAGTTTCTTTAAATACATTCTGTGTGTCTCCTGCAGGACATTAAGAACACAAGGTTATAACAACAACACAGGAAACATATCAATTAGAAGAAATATTTCAACTTTTTCAACTTTCTGTGGATCTGTAAAAGAACATCATATATTCAGTATACAGTGCAAGGCTGTCCCGATTATGGGCAGTTTCTTACCTGAAGTTGCTGATACTCTTCTTCCAGACCTTTCCATTCCTCCAGGATGTTTTTCAAATTTTCTGACATTTTGTAAACAGTAGCGCTAAAAACAGCACATCAGCTTAGGGTCGATGGTGTTCGAGCACCATGAAATGAGTTGAAATCTGATGGTGAAGTATTCCCAGGGTGTGGATCACGTCTCCATGTGCAGTTGATTGCATAAAGTGAACTTTGACTGGTACAAATGTGCAAGATTTTGTCTTGGACATTAATCTCTTTTTATCACAGTGTTAATTTATCACCTGCAGAGCTTAAGGTGGCAGGTCATTGTTAACTGCATTGCAGTCTTCACTTTTGCCATAGTACATCCAGCTCCATGCTATTTAACACACTTATATTGCTACATGTTAGCAGCATCTAGTGGATTGTATTGGACTACTGCAAGCCATACTTGTGTAATTTTATTGTGACATAAGTTGTATTTTTGAATAATCTTCTTCTTTCCTGGCTGCTGCCTTTAGGGGTCGCCACACAGAATCATGCCTCCATCTCACCGTATCACTACGATCCCTCTGTGTGCCCTTCTTTACTAGATCCATGAATCTTCTCTGTGGTCTTCTTCCTGACTGGTGGCTTCATCAGCATCCTTTGTCCAATATATCTACCATCCCTTCTCTGCACATGTCCAAAGCATCTCAGCCGAGTCTCTCAAACCTTTTCTTCAAATTAGTCAACCTGAGCTGTCCTGATCTACTCATTACTACTCTTGTCCATCCTGGGTCTTCCTCCTGTCATTTTAGTTGTGCCACTGTCTCCAAACTATACATCATAGCAGATGGTCTCACTACCATCTTGTAAACCTTCCCTTTCACTCTTGCATCCTTCTGACGCAAATCAACCCTAACCCCTTCATCCACTCTGCCTGCACTCTCTTTTACTCCTCTTTTGTGCACTGTGCTAGTTGCTTTGGATGGTTGACCCCTGGAATTTAAACTCATCTACATTTACTACCTTAAATCCATGCATGTTTACCCATGTCCCTGTAATTCACAGTGTTGGGCAAGTTACTTTGAAAAAGTAATTAATTATAGTTACTAGTTACTTCTTCAAAAAAAAGTAACTGAGTTAGTAACTGAGTTACAATATTCTAAAAGTAATTAATTACTTGAAAAGTAACTATTGTGTTACTTTAAAAAAAAATGTTTAACCCTCTGGGGTCCAGGGTATAATTGGCCATTTTTAACTACTTTTGATTTTCCCTCCACATTTCACCTTTAAAAACAGTTTATTTGTCTTGTTTGGTATCATTCTTTTCAGCACAACCTCACGTGTCTGAATTTACAGTCATGTTTTCATTTTGACATACTGCATTAACACAATTGATCTGAAATCAGACAAAAAACATAAAACCAGAGTAGAAAAAGTTATATTTTTTACTGTAATAACCACACACATGTTTAATAAATCATATTTCATAACTTTAAATGCAAATATAAATTGTCAATTTTAAAATACTATGCACAAGTTTTGCAAACAACAAAGTTATTTGCAGCCATTTATCATTTACCCTTTTTTTAAATAACCATTTCAAACTATCTATATAACAATCAGCTGTTCTGCATTATATAAGATGCCACACAAATTATTTGTGCCACTCCAAAAAAATAATTTCTGTCCACTATAAAGGAGAACAACAGCCTGATACCTGCAGGTCTGACAGCAGCAGGTGTATCACTCATGTTTCTACCCGGAGACAGGAGTCGCCTCATTGTTCTGACACACAACACAAAACTATCCACAACACTACACACTAACTACACAAGACAAAACATTACAGTTTTTCTCAAATGCTAAAACACATGTCACAAACGTTACCACCAGGTCCCCCAATGTCCAAACACAACACCCTTCTCTAAAGCTACATAAACACAACCACACCTTCCCACTGCAAAACTCAAACTCCCACACCAAGAGAGCAGCTCGAAGCTGTCAAAACTGTAAACACTATACACAGCATTACACACTACAGCAAAACAATTGAAAACACAATGCTCAATTTGTGAGAAGGTTCTTTGTTTCATAACTGCCAATGCATATTTTAGAAACTATACAGTAACGGATCGTCGTAGATCTCTGCAGAGGATTAGGCATTTAGATTTGTGAGTTTCATATGAGTAGTATAAATCTATAGAAAATCCTGCATGTACGTACACTACTGTAACACAACTCAATGCAAAAACAGAATCTATTGCACACAACAGTAATCTTGAAAACATGAACAGGGTGTGAAGTTTTTTTTATTTACGTTATTCACACCACACACACACCACAATCACTGTGCGGCATCATGTCGCTGAGCTGTTGCTCGCATCTCGTCCGTAATGATGGTGCGAGGTTGTCTTGCTCTCCCTCCTGGACCTTCTCCTCTCCCATGTTGGCCTTCTCCTCTTCCTCGTTGGTCGCTCCCCTTCCTCCTCTCATTTGAACTCCTCTTCCTCATTGGCCTGCTCCTCTTCTTCCAGGGCCAGCTCTTCTCCCTCCTCTGCATCAAATTCCTCTTCCCCTGACTCTGCCTTCATCCATTGTGTTTGTTTGGAATCTTCAGCATACTGTGCACTCTGAACTTGCTTTTACATGTGGGTACAGCATTAGCAACAAGTGTCTTCAATTTTGAGTCATTGTGTGTAGTGAATGACGCCAGGTGTGTTCCCTGTGTTCAAAGATTGGTGACTGTGGCAAGCATTTTGCATTACATGGGCTTTCATTTGAGAATATGAGCAGAGTTGTTTCGCAACATGTGTTTTAGCAAGGAAAAATGTGTTTAGATTTATGAGTACAGAGGGTTGTGTTTTGTGAATTGTGTCTTCATGTGACATGTGTTTATGGTACTGGAATATGGTGGCTACATTTAGTAAATGTGTTTAGACTACTGGTCATTTGGGTTACAGGATTGGCTTTTGTGTTTTAACATTTGAGAAAAACTGTAATATAAAGCACCTCATGACAACTGCTGTTTTGATTTGGCACTATATATAAATAAAATTGAATTGAACTCAGTTGAATTGCCTCAGTTGCACGGAAGTAGCAACTGAGGAACTAGCAACTGAACAACTAAGAAGCAGTAAGCTGAAGACAACTTCAACCATCTGTTTGCTGAAAAATATTTTCTTGTTAGTAACGGTAAAGGCGTAACGACAGGAATAGTAATTAGTTAGATTACTCGTTACTGAAAAAAGTAACGCCGTTAGTAACGCCGTTACTTGTAACACCATTACTTGTAACGCCATTATTCCCATCACTGGTAATTCATGCATGTAAATGAAAGGAAGAAACATTGTTCCATCAGAAATCATGATCAGAAGTCCAATTCCCAGCCACTTTAAGCAAATGAATCACGGTGTGTCTAGTCTGAGCTACAGTGGTATTGAGCATGTACAACTCCCCAAAACAGGAGGTGACATTAACACTCTGCTTTTACACTCTGCATGAACTTTTTAAAATTTTGTATATTGTATATACTGTATGTGACACATTTCAGTTAACTGGGTCAGTGGGTTTGAAATCTTTCTAATCATACAATGCAATAAATAAGGAAACAGGTGTTCTGCTGTGTGCAATGTAATTTCTTCTTCTGCCTTCCTTCATTTTTCTTCTCTGCAGAGCATACCTCCACCTCTTCAGGCTCTTTTTCACCTGTTCCCTACTCTCACTACATATCACCATGTCGTCTGCAAACATCATACGCCACAGAAACCCCAGCCAGACCTCATGTGCCAACCTGTCCATCAACACTGCAAACAAGAATAGCCTGATGTAATCCTATCCCTGTCTTCAACCCATCTGTCACTCCTACCACAAACCTCACCATTGTCTTGTTGCCCTCATTCATTTTCTGCACCACCCTCACATGCTTTTCTGCTACTCTTGACTTCCTCGTGCAGTACCGCATTTCCTCTCCTAGTATCCTATCATATGCCTTCTTTAGACCCACAAAGACACAGTAGACCTCCCTCTGACCTTCTCTGTACTTCCCCATCAACACTCTTTAAGCAAACATCTCATAAGTAGTGTGCTTTCTCAGCATGAAGCCATACCGCTGTCACCTGATTGTCACTTCTTTTTGTAACCTAGCTTCAGACATATTTTTGACTATATCTTCATAGTACCAATTTGATCCTTCTGTAGTTACTACAGCTCTGCATGTCCCTCTTATTTTTAATATTTGCTACCATACACTTCTTTTTTCATAAGCAATAATAGCTTTTAAAACAGTGAATCTAAGACATTTTGTTTAAAAATAGTGTCAACTAATACTTAGGTTTGATGATAACAAAAAAACAAAACAAAAAAAAAAACAGTGGACTTTTCTTCATTAGAAAAGTCGTGACGTTTCAATTTTATTTTGAAATATCCGAGAGGAAGTGAAAAGTCCCCGAGCCGGAAGTAGCAAAGTGCGCATGGGCACGACAAAGTGGCCGGCTAGTGGTGGTGTTTTGTTTTTTTCCAAGCTCAGTGAGACTGTAGACGAGACGCTAGTTCATCACTTTATCGAACTCGCTTCACACACACGTGGACATCGCTAACTTATTTAACACAACTAAGAACAACAGTCCGAACAATTTGATGACAAAGGTAAGAGGGTCATGTTGTTAGCTCGCCCCTTTCACAGCTAACGTTAGCACAGTTTAGCTGGTGTGCAGTAAGCTGGTTTTAGAGATAATGAATGTCATTGTTGTTATCTGTTACTTAACAGGATTTCCAATGTTGAAAATATGACAGCAGCGTCAACTTTGACTTGAACAAGAAATTAGAGGTTGCAACAAAAAGTAAACAAGCATTTCTCTTTCTCTTTTATATGTGGAGCTGCTGTTCTGGTAGATCTCTTATCTTTTGGAGTTAGATTTTTCTGATAAAAATATGTGAAGGCATTTTTAATTCCCATTTTCTGTGGGTGGGCTCCCAGCATATGCATCACATCGCTATATTTTGTCTTTTTATTTAAGAAACGCTTTTGATATGTGCTGAATCCTTCATCATTTCTTAGATGTTAATTCTTTTGTCCTTGGATCAGTTATTCACTTACACTGCTTTTCTCAACTGAAATTATCAAGTTTTTCAGTTTTTGGGATAGAGTACCATGTAATAGTAAATTTGTAACTAGGGCTGCCACGATTTGTCGACTAGTCACGATTACGTCGACTATCAAAATCGTCGACGACTGATTTAATAGTCGACGTGTCGTTTGAAGCTTTGTAAGATCGCAAAAGACGCAGGAATAATAGCAGGATTTAAGAGTGTAATAACGGACTGAAACAGAAGATGGCAGCACTGCATGTACAAGGATGCCAGCTGCCGTTAAACCCCGAAGAAGAAGAAGCAGCTGTGTCCCAGAATTCATAGCGCGGCCCAGCTTAGTTTCCAACAATGGCGGAGCTAGTTAGTTTTAATATTACTCTTATTATTCTTTCTGGGTCACAAAATAAACGTTTAACATATTTTCAGGCGAGAATGTAGCTGTGTAAACCTCAAATATCGGCTCAGTTTATCAGGACACCACATATTTTCAAAAGCGCTCCGACGTTTTCGGAGACGTCTGTTACCCACTAGCTCGATAGCTAGCCGGGGGCTAGGTCACTAGCGCCGGTGAGAACACCGGACTCCCGGCAAATTGTTTTCAAACCCACCGCGTCTTTCGCACTCAGGTTAAATATATATGAGTCACTTAGATAAATTAAAAATGTTGTTGTTTGGCTTTTTTTTTTTTTAGTATTTTATTTGTTCCTGAGTAAATCGGTTTGGCTGAGATTAAAGTTATAGTTTTTACACAGCTGAATAAACGTCAAGCAGACAGCTGATTATCAGAAGTGTGAGATGCTGGAGAATATACTCCGGTGTCCTGTTATATTTTAGATAGCAAGGAGTTTATTAAACTTACCGAAACAATCTGCAAATTTCATTAAAATTGAATAAACTATCATCTTGTCTTTATTTTTAGTTAGCACCTTAAAAGCTTAAAGCTGTAAGCTAATGATAGTTATATAAGAGCAGATGCTGCTGGTGCAATAAGCTGTAGTTTTACGTCCAGTGGATGATGATCTGATTAGTCGACTAATCGCATAAATAATCGGTGACTAGTCGACTATCAAAATAATCGTTTGTGGCAGCCCTATTTGTAACACATTTGACAGTATAAGGTACTTCATTGCTACTTCTTTATATCTATTCGCCTTTATAAAATAGGTTTAATGGAAGATGTATTCTGTGCTGGAAATGTAAAAGGCATGAAGGTACCTTTATCCATGTAAAATGTGAACTTTCTTTGGAGTAAGATAATCAGAGTAGAGCTGGGCGATAGAACGATAACGATATGTATCGCGATATAACTTTTTCTCGATAGAAAAATTAACTATCGCGATAGACCTCGCCGCTCTTGTCCTCTTAAAAAAAAAAAAAAAAAGAAAAAAAAGAACAGCCAATCCAAATTACAGAGCCGAACCAATCACAGCCGCAGCGTCACGTCACGTGACTTGTTACGTACAGCACAAGTGCCAAGCCGCACATGTGTATTTGTTTGGGAAGCAGCCAGCCACCGTACCGCCCGGGTAATGGAGGAAATGAGTGTGCCGACTAGAAAAATCAACCGAGCGTGACCGAAGGTTACCGAAGAGAAAACAGATGATGGTTCCAATGCCGGAGAGATTGTCGAACGGAAGAGCCATAGAAGTTCCGTAGTGTGAAGGTATTTCGGCTATTTCAAGTCTGACAAAAAACAGAGTAGCGTGCACTGTAAATTGTGCCGAAAGCAAGTCTGGAAATACAATAAACTGGTGCATGCGCTACGTCCACACGTACCCGGGTATTTTTGAAAACGCAGATTTTTCTATGCGTTTGCACCTTTCGTCCACACGTAAACGGCGTTTTTGGTCACTGAAAACGAAGATTTTTGAAAACTCCGTTTTTGCATTTACGTGTGGACTAGAAAAACGGAGAAAACGCAGCGTCAAAGGTGTGCGCATTTTTTGACGTCACACTGTGCGCCACGTTATTGTTTCGGTGAAATGAATTTCTACAATACTGTTACTGTTAATTCTACTCTCTGCAGTGTTTAAATGCTTACATATACACACAGTTACTGTCCCTCCACACATACGACTCGGTTCTGCTTCTATGCCCCAGCTTTGTTTACTTTTTCCCACCGAGGCTTCTAGACTTCTGATTGGCCAACATTTCTGCACGGTTAGGAATCTAGCGCCACCTGCTGCTTTGGCATGTTCATAGCAGCGTTTTCCTTCATTTCTGCCTTTATGTGTGGACGGGATTATTTTTTAAAACGAAAACGGAAAATCTCCGTTTTCAAAAATACCCGTGTACGTGTGGACGTAGCCTCAGTCTCTGACTGGAAGCGCTAATTCGTCATTCGGCTTTTGTCAGACTAAAGTAACTGTTAAAACTGTTTGAAAAGCTAAGCTATACAACAAGGAGAGATTGAGAATTTCCTTTTAGTTCTCAGTTTATTTGATATTGACAAAAGTTAGTCAGTTTTGTCTGTTCTTCTGTAAAACAAACTAAGATTTATTTTTAGAATTAATATTTTGTTTCTAAGTGGAATTGACAATTTAGTCTGTTTCTTTGTTCTATTTTGAAACTTAAACGCTTTAGCGGCTGCCTTTTGTGTAGTTTGCAATATTTGCCTTTATTTATCTGAAAAAGTCTCATGTTCCTTAAGTACATCTACCCTGTTGAACTTATTATGGGAAATAAATATTTAAATAAAAACAAGCTGCTGATTATTTCACATTTTACTTGTGAGCAACGGCACATTTAAATCTTACAAATATAGTTATTTGGCTTATATCGTGATAGATATCGTTATCGCCTGAAATGAAAAAAACATATCGTGATATGAAAAAATCTCATATCGCCCAGCTCTACTATGTAGGCTGACGATGTCTCCGCCCAGCCTTTTTTTGTGGGCCTGACCTGCAGCATGTGTTGTTTTGTCATTTAAATAGGAGCTCGTGCTCAGCCAGGGGTGTTTTTTGGTTTGTTTTTTTTTGAGCTTGTAAGGAAGCGTGCTGTAAGTAACTTGCTGTAACTCTGTTTTGTTTTGGGTTCATGTTTTGGTCTAATTTTGTTGTGTCTTGTTTACTGTTTTCTTTCTTTCTTTTAACTTAAACTCAAAAATTGAAGTGATGCAAACATTTTTTAGTGAGAGGGCATATTTTCAGTTGATTTCCTTTAATTCCTAATCAGTATTAACTAGCTTTAGCTGAACAGTGTTTTGAGATTTCACATGTTATTAAGACAAAACTTGCATTTTAGGACCTCACATTTGTACATTTATGGAATTTATTTTAAGAATTGCTCAGCTGGAGATATTAGTGACATACTCAACAATGGTCCATGTAGAGTTCAAATGTTCAGTTTGAACATTATTTGTCTGAGATCTGTGTTTTCCTGCCTTTCCTTTTCTTAGTATTTGATAAACAAAAATGTAGATTATACAGTACTGTGCAAAAGACCTGAGTCACCCCAATTATACTGTGCTTCCAGGGAGCCATACTTTCTTGTAATTTTTAAAGAATTTGTCTTAAGCAATAGTTCTCCCGGCTTTCTGAAGGTCTTTCAAAGTTTTTTGTTTGACATCGGCTGCTTTTTCACTCATTTTCTGTTCAGTCCATGAACCTGGTCATTTTTAGAGAAATGGTTTCTTTTCTTCAGGTACTTAACACTGACCTACGAGTCATTCTAGTCATTCAAAAGGCACCTAACTCAAGGGATTAACTACCAAAGAACCCTTTTTAAATAGTATCTTTAGGTATTTTGTTACCAGCAGCCTGTATGAAAACACATTTTTTTCCCTCTCATTTCTGTAGCTGAATCCAATGATAACATAGTTTGACAAGCGCAGACATGGGCACTGGCAAAATGATTCTGAAATAGTGAAAAGTTGGTATATATTGGCACAGTGTGCTGTGTGTCCTTAAAAACAAGAACTAAAAAATCAGAGGAAAGGCTTTGAATATCCTGGAGAACTGTTCCTGAAGACTACTAAGCAAATTATAAGAAAACTTGCTAAAGAAAATCCAGGCTGTGTTAAAGTGTGTTAATCTCTTCATGTATCAATAATTCACTTGACCTATTTCCTGTTATCCTTGCAAAATATGAAGAAAATAGGTTTGTTTTTGTTCAGTGTTTGTGATTAAAAACGTTTAGTGAGTGGGAAAAATGTATCTGCATTAAAAAAAACACACAAAAACCCCACACATTTATCTGACAGACACAGCCACTGCTAAATGTCTGGTGTTTGTTCTGCAGGGGACTGATAGAAGATGTGTGCTGCTGTGTATGTCCTGTCAACGGTAACGGGCTACGTGCTCACCTCTGCCCTGCTGCTAAAATGCCCAAATCTGTTACATCGAAAGAAGCGAGAGACTTTCGTCAGCAAGCACATTTCTCACCGTGGAGGTAGGTCACCAGTTTTCTTTCTTAAGAACAGCCCTTGACTTAAAAGGTAAAAGGTGCCACTTAATCCCAACTTACTTTCCCTCTTTTAGGTCCCACTAACAGCTAGTTACTTACTCATGGGTAAAAACAGGTTTGTTATTCAGGTTTTTGACTGTCACATTTCCCTTCTATGGTTTTGATCCTATAACCATCTATTTGTTACTGGGCAGTAGTTGCAGATATGAGTTAAAGATAAAAATTAGAAAAACTTACACATGAACCACAAGCAAAATATCAGAACCCCCCCCCGCCCTGAGAAGATACTTGTTATGCCCACATCTGGAGTGAAGGCACTCTTTCAGACATGTGTTTCACAGCCAAGCAGGTAAAAAGAAATCTGAGTTTTTATTTTTCCGATTTCAGGGGCAGGTGAAAATCTGGAAAACACTATGATGGCTTTCAAGCAGTGAGTAGAAACTTCAAAGTCATAAGACACAGCTCTTTCTTTGGGATTTGCACTTGTGACTGTGGACGGTGTGTGTCATCTGAGATGTTGTCTTAGTTCTTTTACCCACAATCAAGCTTGTGAATTGGTGCAATATGTACAGTTCGTGTAAAAGATAACCTTGTGGTTCTCCTTTGTTTGATTAGTTAATCAGACAAGAGGTGGACTGTCTTATGCATTTATTGAATCTGTGTGCTATATCTGTGTGTGCTATACTGCATGGTTAGGGTCCAAATTTCAATGCTAATGCTTGTGTGCTTGAGATTGCGGCTGAGTCTATATGCGTACTGTGTGTCGGATCGTGCAGCGCTGTGGATGTCGGCACAGATATGCTGGAGCTGGACTGCCACCTGACAAAAGATGAACAGGTAGTGGTTTCACATGATGGCGACTTGCAGAGGACCTGCGGCATCGACACCAACATCTCCGATGTGACCTACGCTGTAAGTTTGAACTGAAGCCACTTTCAAATCTCTTCTCATCATTGATCAAGCGCTGTGCATGTTTAATTCTTTGCATGAAAAAAAATTACAAATATAACACTGAATTTTAATTTTACATATATGGCAAAGAGCTCGGTCAGACAGAAGTGTCGTGGACTAATTTTTATTTATTTATTTATTCATTGAGAATTCAAACAAAATTTACATAAATTCAGTCTTGTGTACTCAGTTGTTTTTAAAAGTCATTAAAGATTATTCCACCCTGGAAAAACAACAGTTGAAAGGAATCATTAAAAGCCCCAAATCATCATGACACTCATGCTCATCATGATTGGGTTGAAACTAGTGATGGGCAGATGAAGCCCCATGAAGCACTGAAGCTTTTCATCCAATTGGTTCACCCCAACGCGAAGCTTCATGAAGCTTCATTTGCTCTAGCAGGACACCTACTGGACGTAAAAATAATAGCTGGCATGAATTTGAAGAGTGTGGCATTTTGCACACAGCCTGTAAATGTCAACAACAAAAGGAGTGTGTAAAACATGTATATTGTAGTGATGGCAGTATACTGTGTATATTTATAGTGGCAGTATGGAAAATGATTATTTGGAAATGCTTGAAATGGAAATGATCATTTACTGTGAGGTGAGGTGTGGTTGGGGTGTGGACAGTAGTTGTGCTTTTGTAACGTTGAGGTATGGACAGCTACACACTGAGCCTCAGTCCTGCCTGTTCACATTTTATTCTGTAAAAACTAAATTTTCACTGCTTTTATGACCTTTTTAGTGGGGAGAACATAGCTAGGATTTAATGATTTAACAAATCTTTTGAATCCTTTGTCCTCCACAATGCTAAATGGCTGGGAGTCCTCAATCACCATGCAACCAGGTCTTCATCTATTTGAGATTGTTCTCCTGAGGAAAGACAATAAAGACAAAGCACAAATATAAATATCACACACGTAACTTATAACAGTTGTATAATATTGTTATATCATTTAGTAACATTACTGCATGCTATATTATCATTGCATTTGATGGCTCACCTGGTCTTGCTCCACAATCGGTGTTCCCCTTATTCTCATGCAAAGCTCTGTAGTGCCTAAGCATGGATGAGGTGTTGTTGTTATATCCCAGCTCCCTGGCACATAGCAAACACTTCACCTTGTACAAAAGTCAAGACAGCTTAACATAAATTGTATTGCACCATCAGTATTATGAAAATACATCTTCTGTAGAAATTTACATACCTTGTTGGGAGGAATAAGATCAAAATGTTCCCACACAGGGGAGGACATCCTCCTCTTCTTAGCTGGCTCCATTCTCTCCTGACTTTCTCTCCTCACTCTCATAAACCTCCAAACTGTCTCCAAACTCTCACTAACCGCAACTCTCCATCAAACACCCACATTTTTGAATGAAGTCTGAGGGGTTTATATCGCTGTCATATCTCGCGGCAAAGTTCGAACCACTTCATGAACCAGTCACGTGGTACAGCCGGGCAGCGAGGCTTCGGACGTCATCATTTTCAGCTCCTCCCATAAATGAAGCAAGCCTCGATACGCGCTTCGCGGAAACGCCCCCTCCATTACTCGACACACGCTCCGAAGCCTCGATACAGAACGTCACATCACTAGTTGAAACGTCTGACCACAACTGTGAATGTGGTTTGTGTTTAGACATGATATGAGCTTTGATGGATCATGCGCCTTGATCAGGGGAGGTCAAAAACAAGTCATCTGATTACGTCACGTGATTTTAAAAAACTCTTATCCAGCTACATTCCTTGTGAGTAACTTAGGATTTTGGCTAAGCTCTGCTCTCCTCTTTAAACATTTGGTAGTCTACACATTTAATGCTTATTGGGAAAAAAATGCTTTTGTCTTGCAAAGAAGCCTTACAACATTAAACTGAAGTATTTTTGTGTGTTTGTAGAGGTTCTTGGGTCAGAGATCCCATCTACAAGTTAAATTTTATATTTTGGAACTGAAGATGAGGCTTAGTGGGTTTTAATGGTCTTTGGCCTTGTTGTAGACATAAGCACAGACCTTGGTGTCCAGTAAGGTTAGACTCTTGAAGGAGTAGAACTTATAAATCAGCATAAATATCCAGATACAGTGACCCTAAGAGTATTTCCCATATATGGAATAAATAAAGTACTTCTTATCTTTACTGATCTCATCTAAACAATGATACCAGCCTTCCTGACTGATGGCTGGCTGTTGGCAAATAAAATGAAAAACACCAGTGTCAGTGGTTTATATGGTGTGTTACTTTACAGTATATATAAATCACATCAATCTTTGCTTAAACAAATGAAAAAGAAGGTGGAGGTAAGATTGAAGAAGTTGTCTTATATAAAGAATATTTCTCTGTTTCTCCAGCACAAAAGAGGTAACAAAGAAATCAAGATATATTTAAAACAACAAGACACTAAAATATGGGCTTCAGTTTTCTGGCCAGAGTATTATTTTAAACATTTATTAACATTCTTATTGACTCTTTTTTTTATTCTTGTTCTTAAAAAATCTTTCAGTTAATATGCATGAACAACATTTCTGAAATCCCTACAAAGACAATAAAAAAACACCCAGTATACTCAAAGAAATTATTGTCATCATTTGCTTTGATGGAACAGGAAACAGTTGTTCCTGCCATAAATAAAAACACATTTTAGTGACTTGTGCAACGGTCAGATTTAAAGGTTTGTCTGCAGAGGATTTTCAGATTTCACAGCTGACCTCGGAAGTCTTAAGTTTGGGAATGGCTGCTCTAGAGAAAACTATATCAGAAATCCTGGATTTATTTTGAGCATGACTGCTTTGTTTCCAGAAACTCTGAAGTTGTGTCTGTTGTGCTTTCTTTGCAGGAACTCCCTCCATACCTCTGCAGGCTGGGTGTAACCTTTCAGCGAGGTGAGCATCACGTATCTGTCACTTGTGTAATTACCACGAAGCAACGTATTTATTCAATAGGTGACACAAATCGACATTTTAGGTTATAACAGTTGACAGCTGACGGGCAGAAAATTACCGCTAAAATCACAAGTGCGCACAACCCGGCGTCTAATCTGAAGCTGATGGTGTTTTTAACCTGTCCTTGTCTGTGCAGAGTGCATCTGCGAAGGAGGAGAGGACAAACGCATCCCTCTCCTCAGGGACGTGTTTGACGCATTTCCCAACACTCCTGTTAACATTGACATCAAGGTTAACAATGACACGCTCATCAAGAAGGTGTGTGTGTGTGTGTGTGTGTGTGTGTGTGATGAGTGTGTGTGTGATGTGTGTGTGTGTGTGTGTGTGTGTGTGTGTGTGTGTGTGTGTGTGTGTGTGTGTGTGTGTGTGTGTGTGTAGTGTGTGTGTTGTGTGTGTGTGTGTGTGATGTGTGTGTGGTGTGTGTGTGTGTGTGTGTCTGTGTGTGTGTTGTGTGTTAGGTGGCTATATTAAGCAGCTCATCTCTCTCGACCCCTGACTGAAACTTGCTTTACTGTATTGATGACATGCAGCTTGTGGTTATTTCCTTGTGCAGGAAACAGTGTACAGTTAGCCTTATAGCTTTTTGGACAGTGACACCATTTTTGTAGTGTTGCCTCTGTACGTCACTTTAGTGGATTTTAGATCAAACTGCAGTTTTAATTTGTGTTTTTTGGAAAAATTTGTATTAAAACATTTTAGGAATTGCAGCCATTTTTATACATAGTTGATTTTCAGTGGCTCAAAATGAACTGGACAAACTAACATCATTTTAGATTGTTTTAATACTTCAGTCAGTGACTGCCTGGAGTCCAGAACCCATAAACATCACCAAATGCTGTGTTTTGTCCCTTAAAATGCTCTTCTAGGCCTTTACTGCCTCTGCCTTCAGTTGCTGCCTGTCTGTGGGTCTTCTGTCACTGTTGTCTTTGGTTATTGAAAAACAGGCACCTTTGAGTTGGGATCAGGTCACTGACTTTAAAGAATATCTAATTTCTTTTCATTGAGAGACTCTTGGGTTGCTTTTACAGGATGCTTTACGTCATTATCACTTTGTACTGTGAAACACTAACCGACCAGTTTTGGAGCCTCAGGCTGAATCTGAGAAAAGAGTACATGCCTGTACATTTTACAGTTCATCATGCTGCTACTCTCAGCAGTCACGTCATCAATAAACACCAGTGACCCGATTTCACTGGGAGCCATAACACTACCTCCACCGTCCTTGAGTTGTTCTTTCCTTCTTCATACTTGTTGCAAGTTCAGCACTTGGACTCAAATGCAGATTTTGTGTCTCTTGTGGAATCACGAGGGACATCTCATCACCTGTTCACTTACTTTTAGGCTACTGGAGAAGGCAGTGTTTAAAAATGGCTATAATTCCAAATGGTGAACTCTTTCTCCCATAAAGATGAAATTTGGCCTCCCCTGTACACTAATGATGGGTTTTGCCACCTATTATGTATTAATAAAAATGTGTTTTTCACATTAATTAGAATAATTTCCAGGTTTTTCCAAGATGCACACCCAGTCATTTTGTCCTGGAAGCAGGCCTGCAATGTGACAGAGAAGAGCTTCAAGGATTACTTCTAGTGGGCTTTCAGCGAGTAATGAGTTAATGCAATGCTTTTGTTAAGACTCCTGAATTAGGGCTGAAGTCGCCGCTTCAATCACATCTTGATTTAAAATAAGCTGTGATGACAACTAAAAAAAATGTACCCTTGTCCGAAAATGTATCGACTTAACAGCCTGTTTAAGAAAAAAAAAAGTCCTCCATAGTTACAAAGCCCATGGTGCCTAGTAAAGGAAAGGGAAGTGAAGCATTTCCTAAAGTACGATGGTTGGATAACCAAGACTGAGATATGTTTTTAAGTCCCTTTTATTTGTCTGTCACCACAATCATGCATATAGTAACAGTACAAACCTGATGAAGAGGGGAGAAAATGTAGACAGAGGAATAACCTGTTCAGATCCTGAACTGATCTAATTTAAGAGGACGTTGGCCTTGTTATTGGGACTCTGCCCTCCAAGTGTCCGTCTAGAGACTTTACGAGTTTTGCCGCCGTCTTTTCATCAAAAAACTAATTCTAAGTTTTAAACATTGGCAACAGGACAGAGCAAAAGCAAGAGAAAATGTTCTGTTTCGTAGTTTCATTGAGTTTTCAATCCTTGCAGGTCTCTGAGCTGGTCGTGAAGTATGACCGAGCGCATCTGACTGTCTGGGGCAACGCCAGCAACCAGATTGTGAGAAAGTGTTACAAAGAGGTACGTTTATATGCTGCTTCACATTACTTTGGTGAAATGTGTGTAGCTATTTATAAAATTTGTTGTTATGAAATTACAGAATTTCATCTACCAGCATGCCTACAGGAAAAGGGCTCAATCTGTCCCATATAGCAGTATTTTAAATGCACTGCTTTGTGGAATCACTATTCATCTTTTTGTCATGTTTCTAAAAATGTTCAGACCCTTTGAGGGAGTTTTAGAGGAAACACTTTTATCATCATAAGCCATCACCATCCTCTTCGGTGAATAAAAATGACTTGGAACTGCTGGTAAGTCTGGTGTGGTTGGTTGTTTTTGCAGAACCCTCATATTCCAGTGTTGTTCAGCTTGCCCAGAGTGTTGCAGCTGTTAGGCCTCTTCTACACCGGCCTCCTGCCCTTTGTTCCAATCAAGGAGCAGTTCCTGGAGATCCCCATGCCCTCCATTATCACCAAGTAAGTGCAATACAAATAAGCTCAAAGGCCACTTTATTAGGTACGCCTGTTAATACAAATATCTAATCATCCAAACACATTACACCAACTGAATGCATGTAGAAATCATCAAGAAGACCTGCTGACATTCGAATAACTCTCTCTATGCTCTGGACTGATGACAGTTGAGAGGCTGTTTGGTATTCTGACAGGGCAGTGAGCACACAGGGAGGTGGATTTGCATCCACTACAGTGAACAAATAGAAATGTATTTGAGTTTCCGTCACACACAGTCACACACCCAAATCACTTGCACTTTGTTGTTCATGTAACCAAATACTAGTAATAAGCTCTATGGACACTTTATTAGGTACACCTGTTCTGATGCGGTGATTTTCTGCCAATCGTGTGACAGTATAACAGTATAAGCAGTATAATGCAAAGCTCAGATTATCTCAAACTTCTTGAACTTGGCAGTTAGTTCTCTGCTCTCAGACGGCCTCCACAGTCATCAGATCTCAGTCCGGCAGAGCGTCTTTGAGATGTGGTGGAACGAAAAATTCTCAGTATGGATGTGCAGCCGACAAATCTGCTGCTGCCATGGGATGCTATCTGAGGGTCGTTTACATGACCTTGTTGAATCTATGACATAAAGAATGAAGGTAGTTCTGAAGGAAACAGGGAGGCCTACCAAATACTAGCAAGGTGTGCCTAATAAAGTGGCCAGGGAATGTGGTACTAAAGAAGTAAAAGGTGCATGTCAGGAACTTTGATAAACAGTTTTCAGGAAAGGGTTAGCTCAGCAGCATGCTTCCACCCTCACTAATACAGTCACAAAACAAGCCCTACATGAAACAACAGAGCAGGGTTAAGGTTTTCTTTTTACCCTAACTAACCTACAGTTTAGTTAACATAAATGATTAAAGTCATCTATGCTGCAGTGTCAACACAAACTATTAATAATTAGTAGTGTAAAATCTGGCAGCATTGTGTTTTAGCTGCTGCTGGTTTATTGGCTGGAGAAAGTTGTCAGTGCTGTGGTTTGATCTCTAAAAAGAGCCGGAAATCCCATCACTACTGTGTAAGCGTCAGGACGTGGAGTAAACCTCTGGAGGAGTCTTCATTAGCTGGGCCTTGTTTTTGGATAACATATACGGACTTGTTTGTTGTTTCCTCCAAATTACAGAAGTTTAGACAAAGGGGATTCCAACTTTAATAACTTTTATTACTCAGGCAAGAAAATAATTTAAACATACTTTAACTTTGAATTGGGGCTTTAAAGCCTTTTCACAGTACCTGGCTCAGATTCACTCCCCTGGCTGCGCTGGTGTCCTTTCTGTCTCCGTTATCTGCCTGAAGGATGATCTTTGAAAGATGAACTCACTCACTAATTAGGTCATTAGAAGAAACGTTTGCGCAGCTTGGCCTTGTGAAATGTGTATTAGTGGATCATGAGGATCATGGTCAAAAAGCAGATTATTCTTGCCCAACGCTCATTAAGGATTAACAGAATTGTTTTATTGCACTTCTAAAGTGTGAAGTTCTTGCTTTAAGACTGCAACCATAAATTGTGTTTATTAAGAGATTGACTTGATTTCTTGTGCATATTTAAACGCACTGATTTATTAATTTTCTTGGGTAGATTTCAGAAATTTCCTAAAAATATGTTGTCATGCTGTTATAGCATCAATCAAGTGCCCTTTGTTTTTGTTGTTGTTGGGTTTTTTTTTTACCATTTTTAATTATTTTACTTTTCTGTGTGAATTTTTTCAGACTACAGGATCCCAGCAGGTTAACTAGAGGTCAGCGATTTATCGCCTGGCTGGCAGACACGTAAGTCGCTTTCTCCTCCAAAAATGTAAAATCTCTTTGATTTTTGTGGTTGAATCAGCAGAAAGTTCAACAAAAGATAAACCTGCAGCAGCACTAGGCTTTTTTTTTTTTTTTGTATTTCTCTGTGTTACTGAGATGTAGCTATGCGATCATGATTAACATAGAAAGGATTTACAGTCACACACCTCAGCTGATTAGTGTTTATTTTTCTCTTGCAGTTTGCTGATGAGGAAAGCTCTTTTTGACCATTTAACAGCTCGGGGAATTCAGGTAAAACTGCAGTTCCTTTAAAATTAAGTTGATTCAGGTTCCTGTGAGGAACCAGTAAATGAGGAGCTATGGAAGTGTTTTAGAGGTTAGAATGGATGGCTGGTTCATTGGAACTTCCTTACCTGATTACATGGATACAAAAGTCTTCCTGTTGTAGCATGTTTTTCCTTTTCTTTGGTCTCAGTCTCTTATGGTCACGTAGCCTGTGGTAGCGATAGGCAGATGGCACATCTTCTGGCAAGTTTTTATTTGCAGTCCTGGAACAATTTCCAAGATTGGTTGATGTAAAGGGGATGGTTGCGCGTTGGTCTTAATCAGAGCCTACGCACAGGTTTGCATGTTGTACTTGTGTACACCAGGGGGCAGTGTCACAAACAACCAGCCAGCCACAAACAATGCTAACTGAGGCTTTTTTGTGCTTCCTGGCTTTCAAGCTACACACAGCATCGTCCCCATGGTCTTTTATAGTACTTTGCACTTGTATGTCTGCACAGGTTAATAACTGAAAAGCAAGATAAAATGGTAGTTTCATGAATCCCACGTTAAAAACCATGATTTAGTCCTAGTGCATGTATGGAGGAGGTCAAGAGGTACAACACTGAGAGTTTACAGCCATCTGTAAAACATGGCAGTGTGGGATCATGTTGTCAGAGAATAGAGCAAACGGTAGCCAACATCCAAAGAAGAGCTTTGAATGTCCTTCAAGAAGCCAGGAGAACTATTCCTGAAGACTGCTACTACTACTGTCACCACTTTCCGTGTGCCTTGTTTTGCTCCAACAGTGTGTAAAACTTTTGTAAAATGCCAGAACTAAGCCTGTGTGTTTGTTGTAGTTACACTGTGGTTAAAAGCAGTTACTGGAAAGGTTCCTACCAGATCAAATATAGACTAGAGTACAGAAACATTCCTGTGTGTGACAGCCTCTGACCGCGTGTGTATTAACTGTACAAATCCCTCATGTGGTTTCAGGTGTACATTTGGGTGCTGAATGACGAGGATGACTTTCAGAGGGCGTTTGATTTGGGAGCCACGGGAGTTATGACAGATTTTCCCACCAAGCTTAAAGACTTCATGGACAGGAACAGCCTTTCCAAAGCGGAGTGACCTGCCAAAATCTACCTCACCCCACCTGTCACCAGTGATTATCCTTCAGGGCCACTGACCTGCCAGACCAGCCCCCAACATGCACCCGCTTTTACTGCAGGCATTCCAGCACAGCTACTCTCACACTGTGTTTTACAGTCTGTAGGAACTCCAACATGCTCTGTATTAGGAACCGCGTGTTATACATGTAGTGGTAGCACATACTCCTGTTTTTCATTACTCATACTAAACAGTGTGATCATATTAGATCTTGACTGATCTTGGGCCCCGTCACAGAGACAGTATATCGCCACAGGCTTACAGATTTTCTGATATGACTCAAAATGAAAACGTATTTGGGTAATTTGGTTTACAATCCTCTCAGCAATGACTGCAGCAGATGGCGGTGCAGTCATGCGATGTCTTCACAGTAAGTTGGTAAGTTACGACTGAAGTATATTTCGAAAAAGTTAATAAGAATTGTTGCCATTATAACACAAATATACTGCATGCATTTACAATATTTTAGATGCATAAATGATGAAATCTGAATGTTTTCTTTTAGTCACAAAAAATCCTGGCTCATTATTATTAGTAGGAGTATTATTAGAATTATCCATGGTGCGTTCGCTTGCACACACATGCACACACATACCCATATAACAGTATGATATTTCTGCTAGGAGCACACACTTAATTGAAACCACTGAATTTTTTTTTGCAAAGAGCTAAAAATGCCACTGAAATATTGTGCTTTTAAGTTTTATCAGTCTCAGATGCCATAATAGATTCATGGTCCTTGACTTGACACTTTCTGTAAGGGTTTACTTGCGCAAACTCGATCCTTTTTGATGCTTTCAAGTTAGTTTGCAGATGCAGCTCGATGATGTCATGTTATTTTCGACTTGTTTCATTCATATATATTAGATATAATATATATATATATATATATATTATTATATATATAATATATATATATATATATATATAATAATATATATACACACACACACATACATACATTCTTTGCACATATAATTCGCCACGTCTAAGCAGTGGTGAAACATTTTTTCCCAAAATGCAGTCAAACAAAACAAAGATTCTCCACTACATTAAATATTATTTGATGCACCAGGTGAGGAACAGTTAACCGGACATTCAGACGGATTAATTTCAGCTGTGCGCCGCACTGTAAAAACCACTGTCCTGTATGCTGTGTCTCATGTTTCTGTTATTGTTTAGTGTCTAGATTTTTTTTTTCTCATTGTTTTGGCTCATTATTATTATTTTGATCAGCCTTTTGATCAGATAAAATAATAGAGGCATATATTGCCTGTTTTATGAGGAATTTTGCACAAAATAGGAAACCTTATCTGGTTTCTTTTACCTGTGTCAGTGTGATTGCAATCAGCATTGAACTTTATATGACATGTGTATATTTAAAATATTTTACAGCCTAGTATAAGCAGTGATGCAGACTGATCGCTTTACTGCACTCATTTAAAATTCAAATGTGTTAATGAAAGTAGTTTACACATAGTTCCTTGCTTTAATATACAAATATATGAAATGTTATGATGCTCGGTGGCGGTCTCTAATCGAATGAATGTGGTTTTGGCTGAAAGTACTGTACGTTGTTTGGGATTTTTGCAGTCAAAACAATGTTAGGTTTGTTGTGGGGCATTTTAAATCACTTGTGTGTGATGTTTTACACTGTTTTTACAAATGTTCTTGAAGATTTCTTTTAGAGACTTGATCCAACAATCACATTACAATTACTGGGATTTTTCTGATTATACTACTTGTTCTGTCCTCAGTGTACTTTTATTTTGCATGTTTAAAGCTGTTGTGTGTGTTGAACTGAACTTTTTTGGGCTCATCTTTAGATTTGATTTGCCGAGAGCAATTTTTTGTATCTGTATCAATAAACACTGTATGTACATCATTATATAAAAGTGGTATTTGTCGTTTTTTAGGGTTGTGTTATGTCACAGTTTATGTAACTGGCAGGAGGTGGCGCTGCAAACTAAAACGACGTCAGAAGTTTTTACTGTCGCGAAAAGTTAATGATGCCGGACATGTTGAAATAATAATTTCCTACTTTTTCACAAGAACAGGTGATGCTTTCGCTGTGTTGTCCTGCTCGAGGCAGCTTCATTAAACAATATTTGCAGGTAGCTGAACTGCTTTCTAGAGAATTCATTTAGAAAAAAAACCGTTAGAATCCGGAAAGATTATTGGTTCATCGTTTCTACTCTTGACCAATAAACACGGTGTTGCTATGCTTTATCTGTTCACTGATTGGCCGATAAGCCTGTCATTTATTCATCAAGCCTTAAGGACAAGTGTGATTTGGGACCAAGATGATTCCCGTTTTTTCAGAGTTTGTGTTTTCCAGTTTTGCAATTTGGATGTTACTAATTGCACTGCAAATAAGTCGAACATCTAAGTTTTACAGTAACCGTGAATGTGTTTAGAAAAGAAAGGATGCTGTTGGAGGTTTTTCCCCTAAATGCGGCATACCTTTTAGCTAGTTTTCCATGCCACGGCTTATAAAACGCTTTTGTTAAAGCACATAACAGTAAATATAAACAAAACTATATATTTAAAGAATCCCCATCATATATAAATTCAGTCTGTAAAATCAAAACGGTTTACTGCGAACACGGAAGTAGATAGGAGTGAATGCTCTCGCTCCGGCTGGAAGTTCCACTGCTCTCTGTGGCTTTCTAAACTCTGCTGGGCATCGTTGCGCGTCAAAACATTGCGTCTCTGCAGGACTTGCCAGGGCCAGAGAAGAGAGGAAATTTGCCTGGGAAGGAATGCGAAAGAGGTTTTAGGATTGGCACTGCCACGAGGAAAAACGAGGACGTGCCACATTTTCTAGGCTACGTGGAGGAGACCCGCATTTTCTTCCTTTCAAAGGTAAGATGATTTCGTCTGCGTTATTTTTCATCTCCGGTGCATTTGTTACTTATGGTTTTCACACTGCTCTCTTAACTCATTTCAAGCATCGACCTATTTATGCTCAACGCCTTTAACCAAGTCAACTTTTAACTGCAGACCCACGTGCTGTAAAATGACAATATAAAAGAGAAGTTTATGATGTCTTGCGTTGTTTACGTGCATTAGGTAACTGTTGCAGGTTTGTTCTTCCTGTTTGCTTTGCGGACGGGATGCTGAAGAGTTGCTCTCTGTGGTTACAGTATCTACTACAGTATCTAGTATTTTATTTATTATTAGGACACATGCTGTTTTTGTTGTGGCACTGCTGCACGTCTGCGCCATCATCCCCGTGCGCGCGCCCCCGGCCGTAGCGGTGCACGTCAGCAGTGATCGATGCGGGTTATCGTGTAATGTACGCTCACGTGATCACATGCTGACGACAATCACCTGCTAAAGTCACTGCGGATTTTAAAGCTTTAAAGGCGGTGTGTGTGTGTGTGTGTGTGTGTGTGTGTGTGAGAGAGAGAGAGAGTGTCTTGCTGAGCCGAGGCATCCCCGCCATCTGTGCTCTGTGTGGTGGCTGAAGTTATGCCCCAGATAAAGTGCGCCACTGCCTGTGACCTGATTCATACACACATCCACACTGTAAACCCTCATGTTTTTACTTAGGTGTTACCTCGGGTGATGAGACACACATGACTGAGCCTCACCTGCAGGTGGGGGGTGCCTCATGTTAATCCCAGAAATCTAGTAAATAACGTCCGCGAGAGTTCATACGGAGGAGATGAAGATCGGGAACCCCATATCGAGGCACAGCCTTGTTTTCCACTGTTTGCGATCTATTTTCATTGCAGCGTGCGCACGCACATCCCTAATGATTATGTGGGGGCTCGATACCCAGGGATCGAAGAGGAGGGTCAGAGTTGCAGGCCTTGAAAGATGATCCTGCCCGGACGAAAGTTGTGCACAGTGTGTTATGCCTGCAATTGGCCAGGTTTGACTTACAGGAAGAGCTTTAGAAATAAAATCTACACATCAAGCACATGAAACCAAGCCAAAGAGGGGCAGGAGAGCAGCTGCATGCATATGTGTAAGAGTCTGAGAAGCAGGAGCATCACTTCCATCAATGTGGTTTAATGAGATGGTGGGAGTAGTCAGTGATGTCATGCTGCTGTAAGCTGTGTGGCCTCGGTGTAACAGTGAATGGAGAGCAAGATGAAAGTACACAAAGTACAGAAATCGTGACGGTGCAGCTCGTGGGCAGCAGCGAATCATCCAACACCACCTCTTCCTTTTTTTCTTCACCCTTCCCTTCAACCCTCTGTCCAAGTCATTTTCACCTAGCATCGCTCCCCCCCCCCCTCTGGTTTTCTCCTGCGCGATCACTGTCAGAGACAGCAGCAGCAGCAGCATCAGTGTGTTACATAACAAAGGTTGTTTTTTTTGTTTGGATACAAGGGCCCTTTTGGCTGGTGAGACTCGCTGCACGTAGCCTTTTGTGATGACACCCAGAAATGACCAGAATGGACAGCTCGGTGACCTCGAACGACCCGTGGCGGATCAGAGAGGCATAGAGTCAGATGAAGGAGTAGATAAACTTGGGTTTTCTTTCTAACATTTACGCCACCGGAGCCTGTCTGGATGGCTGCAATCAGCTCTTCCAGTCATCTGATCATTTATGCAATTTGTTTTGGGGGGTTTTTTTCCTGCCAGAGAGGTTTTATTAGTGCAAACATTTTGCGTCAGCAGTTTCTCTGAACGTCAGCATCCCGCAGACAATGCTGCTTTTGCAAAAATGACTTACAAGCATGTCCACCCACCAGCATGAGTGTTGTTCTGTTTTTGGAAGCTGTTTGAAAATGTCAAACACCGTCACTCTCAACCCCTCGAACAGCTTCACTACGTCTTTTTTTTTCATCTGTTTAATTTGGTTCTCCAGCTTGTGCCTGCTTTCACTCTTTGATGTATTCCTGTGTGGTTATTTTGTACGTATTCTGTATGTTTTTATTATTCATCATTCCTCCATAAGAAAATATCTTAGCTGTTTTAAAGCCTTCACCATACTCTAGATTTAATTTAGTAAGCACAAAACCACAAACATCTGCCACTGACACTGTTAAAGGACAATATCAGCTTAATTTGTTTCCAGCCTTATGGTTCACTTATTAAAGGAAAACAAAAAATCGAAACAAGCCTTCTACAACCCCTCTTGTGTCTCTATAATTTTACTAAACTGTAATCATCAAATTCCTACATCTGATAGAGGTTAGAATCATTTCAGTTCTTCTGCTCATTAGATTTCCAGTTTATTGGTCTTTTAAAGATGATTAATTAGTCTTTAATAATAATATGTTTTTTTTGTTTAGCACATTTTTAAAGTGCACAAATTGCTTCACAGTTTGGATAAAACATACATGAGAAAAGTGTTTGTGTAGTACATGAAAATACAGAGTCAGATGTATGGTTATCCAGCTTCTCAAGCATACTCCTACTTCCATACACACATTAAATGTGAACTATAGCCAAAGGTAAAATAATTAGTAAATAGTAAATTAGTACTAGTCGCTGGTTAGTAGAGGATGCACTTTGTCTGAAACAATGGCCACATCATTTTACCTTTTAAATATAAATACATAAGGCCTCAGTCACACAGGGCTAGAGACTGGTCAGCAACTCCCGGGAAACTACTGATTGTTAGGGAAAAATGGTTATTCCTAACAGGTGAGTGGGTTCTGGTAGTTGCTAGGTGATATTGGTTGTGATTGCGGCACTAGCTGCTGAATGGACATCTTTTTTTCTTTTTTCTTTTTTTTACATTAGTGGCGGATCATGGAGCCTCACAATAGTTCCAAAAGTTAGCAACATATGCTAGCTGCGCCATAGAAATATAGCAGTAGATAGGTTTGAGATGCTGTTTTAAGAAGTTAAAAAAGAAGTCTGTTTAATCAGCACACATTCAAACTGCCTG